ACACACACAACCACACACACAACCACACAAACACAACCACACACACACACAACCACACACACAACCACACGCGCACACACCCACCTACCTACCCACCCACCCACACTCGCAAACACACACACACACACACACACACACACACACACACACACACACACACACACACACACACACACACACACACACACACACACACACACAAACACGCAGAATCAGCAAGACCGATGGGCATGCGACTTGGTCATTTTTCCAGGTGCCGGTTTTTCGCGCAAATTGGTAGAGGCAACAGATGCGTTTCGGGTCAAGTGAGGACTTCGACTTTGGCGGGTCGAAGGCGCGATAGGAAAGCTTTGCATCACTCAAGAGGGTTCTCTCAACTTTGCCTTGAGTTCCTTTCAACAGAACCCCTGGTTGATTGTGATCAGAGGGTGCAACCCATTTTTGTTTTTTTTCCTCCGTTTTTTTTCTCCACGGGCCATCTGCTACTCGAATGCTCGCCTTGCGGGCAAAAAAAAGTCGAGTTGGATCAGGATCGCTCTGCAGTATTTCTTTGGATGGGCAAGAGGACAAGAGTGAAGTGTCCGGTTTATGGCAGTTGCTTTGTGGCTGTCCTTCCCATCAGCTCCTTTGACATCCACTGCGCTCTTTGTGTGGGAGGACCTTGGAATCTGGGTAAGTGGGAGTCGGGGCGTATTGGTTTGCCTTCGGGCGCTACAACTTGAAACGCACTTCTCCACCAGAAGGCCAATAAATGGGAATCAAGTGCACAAGTGCACACGTGCACAATTGCACAAGTGCACAAGTGCACAAGCGCACAAGTGCACAAGTGCACACGCACGCGCGCGCACACACACACACACAAACACCCGCAGACCCCGACGCACACCCACACACACCCATCCACACACACACCACACACACACCCACACATACCACACACACACACACGTAGGCGCGCGCGCACACGCACGCACCCCCACACACACCCCCACACACAGACAAGCGCACAATCACGCATTCAAGTTTTACTCCGGACCTTCCCCGCCCAACCCCCTTCAACTCAAGTACAACCTCTATCGACCTAGCAGTCGCTTTCCATATTCTGTCCAAATGGGAAGCACCCTCACCCAAAAAATGCTGTTGTTTTTTGCTTTTGTTTCAAGCCAGGGGGCCCCTGGTGGTCTTTGATGTTAGGACATTAATGAGTATCATATCGGTGGTGAAGTCGTGCTTGGATTTGGCACGCAGCCCCTTGTTTCGCATCCACTTCACTTCACAGCTTGTTTTCAAGAAGCCTGGGTGGTCACTCAACGTGCGTCGCATCAAAATTGTTGCCTCAGTGCCTGTCTGAGTACATCTGCCTATTCTATGGCGAGCATGGTGAGCTTACCTGGGGTAAACCAAGCTCACCATGATGTAGGTCCCTTACTTTGGGGTTCCTATATCTCAGGTTTCAGAATTGTAGTCAGAATGCGGGAGGCGAAGCACCTGTTCTCAGTTCGAGGCGGGCATTGTAAGACTTGGGGACACATGCCCAGTTGGAGTGTTGGCTGGTTGACTGGTTTGTTGAATGGATGAATGGATGGATGGATGGACGGACGGATGGATGGATGGATGGCAGGCTGCTGGGCTGGCTGGCTGGGCTGGCTGGCTGGCTGGCTGGCTGGCTGGGTAGATGTGCGCTGGGTTGTTGTCAGTGAAAGGTAGTGTTTTGATGATGGTGCTGCTCGTTTCCGGAACGCGTGGTCCGGGATTGTAGAATGGGTTGCGGTTTAGGATCGGAAAGTGCTTGTTAGGTATTTCTTTGGCGAAATGTGTGTGCCTTTCCAGTTGGCTATGCGCTGCTGCCTAATTGTGTAGCATTGCCTTGGTACGATTTGTTTGAGCCCTGGTTGACATTGACTGGGTACTTGTTGGGGATGGCTTTGGACAGATTTGTCTTTTTTTTTTGGTTGTTTTTGGTTTTTTTTTTTTTTTTTATTTTATTTTTTTTTATTTTTTTTTTATTTGTCTTGGCTTCTTCTTGCTTTAGTGCCGCAGCATACATCCAATCTGATGTTAGGGGGTGGGGTGTACAATAATGGAAAGTCGTGCACGCCCTCTTTGTTTTGTGGACACACGGACCTGAGCGTCAAAAAGATGAGGCAAACCCAGAAGCAATTTACAAACAAAGACAAGCTGCATCGTAGACAAACTTGCTTGTTCCTTGCCATTGGAATACCTTCTGAAAAGGCAAAGCCAATCATCGCGCATCGCAGTGAGAAGGTGGGACTTGCGCGAGGTTTTTCTGCCCCCCAAAAGATGTCGCCCATCCAAGCTGATGTTAGGGGGTCAGGGGCCCACCATCTTGGAATATCGCAGTGAGAAGGTGGAGTAACTAGGAGTTGCGCCAGGAGCGTGACATTCTGCGTAGGAAGCAACGCGCGCTGACGTTGGTGCAATCCAGTGCCGTTTGACTTGCCGGGATGTCTTTGCGTTCGAGTCACGAAAACGCAACCTCAATGCCACCATCTCAAGCGGTTCCAAGTGGGTTTTCTGCAGCCGAGACTTAACACCATGTCCTTAGGTTTTCGCCGAGGGGCACGGGCGACATCTTTTGGGGGTCTTCGGGCAACTATTTACTCCACTTAACTGCGATCTGTGATGCTTGGCTTTGCATTTTCAGAAGGAATTCCAACGGCAAGGAACCAGTAAGTTTGTCTACGATGCAGCTTGTTGTTGTTTGTAAATTGCTTCTGAGTTGGGCTCATCATGTTTCATTTTCACGCTCACTACCATACAAAGTGGGGTGCACGATACTCCATGGCCAAGGTGAGCTGCTGCAGTTCCCCGATCTTCAAGAGCTGGTCTTGAAGACGGCGCGGCGTGGGACGAAAAGGAACATCTTCTTTGCCTTCGACTTCTACCTGCACATTCTTGTACTTCGTTGTCCCCTGTTACCAGCTTAGCTTTCCCTGAGTTGGGATTTGCATCGGTCCTCTTCTTGTTCGGGAAGGGGGGAGTGCATTCCCTTCGGGGGCTGGGGCACCTTTGAGGGTTCTACTTTTGATTCCCGTAGCCCACGTCACGCATGTCGACGCAGGGCAAGCGACCACGCCGGACAAGAACGGAGGCCTGCGGCCGGGCGTTCACACTGGAGCTTGGTGTTCAAGCGCCATGCTTCCTCCGTTTATCGAAGCTGCGTCATTTGTTGTTTGAGTCCCACAACTCACATCATCCTAAGTCGTGGTTTGGTGGCGTGGAATTGAACCGCATGCCCTCTGGAAAGCGAATGGGAAGGTACTCCCTTTTTTCCAAACAACCAACCCAACCCACCAATTCGGGCACCTACCCCACGCAGCGTGCAAGCAGAACTCTGCGCTGAGGGAATTTGTGTGTTGGAGTGATGCCACAGTGTTGCTAACGACCAGAGAGTGATTGCAGGTCACAGGGAGGAACAAGCACTTGCGAGTGAAAAGGGTCGGCCTTTTGATTGCCTTGTTATAGTTATTCTTTTTGGACGGTTTGGCGTCCCTTTACCACCATGCAAACGGGCCCACTCTCCAATTTTTATGAGGCAGCGGGGTTCTTAGGGGATGGACATTTGAGGTAAGTGTAGGGGATCTTTTGTTTGGTATTTGAGGCGTTCTCGGGGATGCTGGGCGAACGAGAGGAGCAGAAGAAGGCGGCCGAGCAGAAGTGGCTGGCAGCGATGGCCTGGGGCGCTCAGTTGTCGTTTCATCTGCTGGTCTCCTGGCCTGCTCTCCTACCCGAAGCCGACCCTAAACCAAACCACACCCACCCTAAACCAAACCAAAACCAACCTACAAACCAACCTTGAAACCGACCCTGCGCAACTTTTAAACCAACCCTAAAGCCGCCCCAAACCAACCCTAAACCAATCCTAAACCCACCCTAAACCTACCCTAAGCCAACCTAAAACCACCCTAAACCCAACCTAAACCTACCCTAAACCAACCTAAATCCACCCACCGTACACAATCCCTAAACCCTCCCTAAACAGACCCTAAACTAAACCTAAATCCACCCAACCAACCCTAAACCAACCCAAGCCAACCCCAAACCCACCCGAAACCCAACCAAAATCAACCCTAAACCAACCTTGAAACCAACCCTACACAACCTTAAGCCAACTCTAAACCCAGCCTAGACCAACCCTAAACTAGGGTGGGTTTAGGGTTGGTTTGCGGGTTTAGGGTGGGTTTAGGGTTGGTTTAAAGGTCAGTAGGGTTGGCTTAGGGTGGGTTTAGGGTTGGATGAGGTTTGGCTAAAGTTGCTTTAGGGTTGGTTTAGGGTAGGTTTAGGTTGGCTTAGGGTTGGTTTAGGGTTGGGTTAAGGGATAGTTTAGGCTAAGTTTACGGTGGTTTAGGGTAAGTATAGGGTAGGGTTGGGGCACGTTTAGGGTAGCCTAAACCAAGCCTGAACCCACCCTAAACCCACCCTAAACAGACCCTAAGCCAAACCTACACCCACCCTAAACTCAGCCAACCCAAGCCAACCCAAACCCACCCAAAACCCCCTACACAACTTCAAGCCAACCCCACAGGCATTTGACCGATGCTAGATTGGTTGATAGAACTGCGCTTGTATCTGAAAAGTGGCCTTCGCGCACTGCGCTTGTATTGGAAACTGTTTATTTTTCAGCTGGAGCCGTAACATGCGCGCGCTGTTGCCCGAAAATGATGTAAATTACAGCGTTGGGTGTCGATAACTTCTTTTTGATCCCGTAAATAATTCTTTTTTGATCCTGCACCCGCAGAGCGCGGGGCCTCCTCCACCTGTCTGACACTTGGAGCTTGCGTGCAGGTTGTGGATTTCGCGATGTTTCTTTGCGTGCGTGTGTACACGTGCAGTAGCTGATTCTTGTGGGTGATCGGCGTTGTAGGTGTGTCAGTTGTGCTTTTTCGAGGCGCTTCTGATGCCTTACGCGCTTAGGCGTATGTCCCGAAGCCACAGAGCGCGGGGCCTCCTCGATCCTCCTGTCTGACACTTGGAGCTTGCGTGCGTGTTGTGGATTTCGCGATGTTTCTTTGCGTGCGTATGCCTGGTGGGTGATCGGCATTAGGTGTGTCAGTTGTGCTTTTTGGAGGCGCTTCTGATGCCTTGCGCACTTGGGCGTATGTCCCGAAGCCGCAGAGCGCGGGGCCTCCTCCACCTGTCTGACACGTGGAGCTTGCGTGCGTGTTGTGGATTTCGTTTCTTTTTCATTGCGTCCGTGTGTACACGTGCAGTAGCTGATCCTTGTTGGTGCTCGGCATTAGGTGTGTCAGTTGTGCTTTTCGAGGCGCTTCTGATGCCTTACGCACTTAGGCGTATGTCCCGAAGCCGCAGAGCGCGGGGCCTCCTCCTCCTGTCTGACACGTGGAGCTTGCGCGCGTGTTGTGGATTTCGCAATGTTTCTTTGGGTGCGTATGTACACGTGCAGTAGCTGATCCTGGTGGGTGATCGGCGTTAGGTGTGTCAGTTGTGGCGCTTCTGACGCCTTACGCACTTAGGCGTATGTCCCGAAGCCGCAGAGCGCGGGGCCTCCTCCACCTGTCTGACACTTGGAGCTTGCGTGCATGTTGTGGATTTCGCGATGTTTCTTTGCGTGCGTGTGTACACGTGCAGTAGCTGATCCTTGTGGGTGATCAGCATAAGGTGTGTCAGTTGTGCTTTTCCAGGCGCAGTTTTAACTTTCTGACGTAGGGGTATGCGCCGAAGCCGCAGCATCCGCTCACGAAACCGCCTGTCTGGCACTTGGAATGTTGATGCGGTTCATCCACCTCGGACTTAGGCTTCAGACGGTTCAGCGCAAAGCAATAATCACTTCCCCCTATTAATAAAGGTCTCCCTAAAAAATGTTTTCCCTGCCCGTACTCAAATCCAGCCCCATTAGGGGGACCCCGGGGGTACGGCTGTGCTACAAAGTTGCGACTTTCGAGCCAGAGCTCCGGGAGCACGTTTCCTTTACTACGGCTGTACTACAAAGTTGCGACTTTCGAGCCAGAGCTTCCGGGAGTACGTTTCCTTTGATACCGGCAGGCTGTGCCAACTAACTAATTAGCTACAAAGGCCGGTGGTCAAAGTCAGAGGGCGCCTCAAACCAAAAGCTCCCCTCTCTCTCTCTCTCTCTCTCTCTCTCTCTCTCTCTCTCTCTCTCTCTCTCTCTCTCACACTCCAAAAAGGTCCCTTTGAGTGATCCAAAACCCACAACCAAAAACAGCAAAACATGACCTCAACACATGACCTCAACTCCCGCTATTAAAATTCCTTACGCGGAAATGTACGCGATTTTAGGGACCGGAACGGGGGGACCACAGCTGCAAAAAAGCCTACGCAGAACAAGAGGTACCTCCAAAACCTGCCTTCCAGATCCAGGGGGCCCCTAATAATAAAAATTGTGTTGCTGGCCGGTGTTATTAGGAGGAAGGGATTAGAGTGGTTGTTGCGTTTCACTGGAACGGAGACTCGTGAAGCGTCAGTTTCACTTCAGCAAGCGGCATGTTTGCTCCACCACCGGTGGAGTTGCTTTGCCGAGCCTCAAAGTTGGTAGAATGTGGTCAGCTTCCTGGTTTCCTTTTGCAAGGCTGGTACGTTTCAACTCTGCCGTTTCAGAGCAACCTTGTAGTTCGAAGTTCGAGCCTCAAGAGTGCCAGCTGCGGATCTCAAGAAACCGTTCTTTTGGGGTTGTGTTCTAGAGCTTCCCTGAAATCGCGACGTGCATGGGCACATCGTGTTTTGCTAAGGCTGCTCAGACCCAACTGGCTGGGGAGCAAGGCAAGGATGAGCTGAGACGTGCGGGTCCTAAAACTGGGAACCCCGTGTTGGTGTTTGAAGGATCCCATTTCTTTGGGGGCTCCTTTCTTTTTCACCCTCCGAAGTTGCTTTTTTAACCCTTCCTTTTTTTCAACCCTCAAACCCTGCTTGGGAACCATCTGTTGGGAACCTTGTTTCTCCAACCCTGAGAAATCCTTTCTTTTCAGCCCATCACCTTGTTTTTTTCACCCTCTGCCTTGTTCTTTTCACCCTCCGCCTTGTTTTTTTCACCCCCCGCCTTGTTTTTTTCACCCACGAGCTTGCTTGTTTCACCCCGCAACCTTGTTTTTCTCACCCTAAACCTAAAACAACCTAAGCCCGCCCCGCACCCAACCCAAACCACAAACCAACCCTAGGCCCGCCCTAAGCCAAACAAGCCAAACCTTGCCAACCTTCAAACCAGCCAAAATCTAAATCAATCTCAAACCAGCCAAACACGCCCAAACCCACCCCATATCCACCCTACACTAAATCACGCCTAAGCAAACCAGAAACATCTCTTGCCCAACCCTAAACCCACCCCAAGCCAAGCTACACCCACCCTACACCACCACTGACCTACTCGAAACCACCCTAACTAAAGCATACATAACCCACCCGACCCTAAACCAAACCTAAATCAACAAACTAAACCAACCCTAAACCAACAAGCCAGTCCTGAACCCACCCTAAACCCACCCTACACGAACTCTAAACCTGCCCGAACCTTGATCCAACCGTAATCCCACCCCACACCTTAAGCTTAGCCTAAGCCAACAATAAACCCACCCTAAGCCCAGCTAAACCCCAATCCCACCCTATCTAGCTTTAACGCAACCCCAAGCCCAACCTAAACCAACCCTGAACCGACCCACCAACCCAAAACCAACCCTCAACCCTAAACCCACACTAAGCCGAGCTTTAACCAATCCCAAACCACCCCGAAAACCAACCTTAAAGTCAAGCCCAGCAAAAACCAACCTTGCCCCCACCCTAAACTCACCCAAAACAAACCAGCCCTAAACCAACCATAAGCCCACCCTGTACCAACCATGAATCCACCCTGATCCAACTCAAAGCGCACCCTGAGACTCTAAGCTGAGCTTGACCCAACCCTAAATCCAGTGAAGCCAACCCTAGGCCAACCGCAAAACCAATCCACATCCAAGCCGAAACCAACCGCAAACCCCACCCTAAACCATCCCAGACCAACCCTGAACCAACCTACATCCAACCCAAAACAAACGAACAACATAACCCACCCTGAACCAACCCTACACCAACCCTAAAACTAACCCTACACACCCCACAGACCTATTCTAGACCACCTGAACAAAAACACAAACCCACCAAAATCCTGCTCTAAGTCAATCTAAACCCAACCTTTTATCCCAACCCTGACCACACCCTAAACCAATTCTAAATAAACCCGTAGCCAACCCTAAATCCATCCCAAACCAACCAGTCAAAAAACCCATTGTAGACCCATTCTCCAAGCCAAAAACGAACCCTCATCCCACTTTGAACTTACCATATACCCAGCAGACCTGCTCGAAACCAACCTTAAACTTAAGCCTTGCCCCCAAACCAACCCTAAACCCACCCTCAACAAACCCTACCCCGCCTCTAAACCCTTCCTATTAAATCTGAGGTCGCCCAACCTAAACCAACACAAAACCGACCCTGACACAAAACCATCCACCCTTCCCATCCGAAACCAACCCGAAACCCACCACCCTAAACCAACCTTAAATCCAAAACCACTCAGAAACGAACCCAACCCTAAACCGTTGCTTAGTGCAGTTGCCGCAGGCGTCGGCCACAGGGTTTGCAAAAAAGAAATGGAGGGTTGAAAGGAAGAGGTTGAGTGTCAGAAAGAAAGGGTGGAGGGGTAAAAAAGAAGGGGGGAGGGTTAAAAAAGACGGGGGGAGGGTTAAATTGAAAGGGTGAAGGGTTGAAAACACAGGGAAGGGTTGGAAAAAATTGTTTTGGAGGGTGAGAAAAAAGGGTTCGCCTTTCTTTTGGTCCTCAACTCCAGAGAAGCTCACTGCTGCAAACAAACCAGTCTGAATCACAGCCAACGCTCAAAGGACACCCAACGGGAACCAACTTGTTGTGAGAGGGTGCAATTCAATTGCATATTGCCAATATTGCTGGTTGCAATGGAAAGCGAAGCCAAAGCATACTGACCAGAATACTAGTGACCATTGGCAACCAGAAGAAATGGTCATCAAGGACCACCCAGCGTCATGACCTTCCCATGCCTCCCCTTGCTATAGCTCTGAATCAAAATGGTTTACGACTGCGCGAGGTGCGCGAGCGTCAAAACAGGTCCTATCCACCAGGGTTGGTTGCGTGGTTCCCTGCAAAGAGGAACCCAAAGAAGGTGGCTGAAACTCTTACACATGTGTTCCGGGTGCAACGTGTTCCATCTCGAAGCTGCTTCTGTGTTCGACCTTTTGGGCCGTGTCTTTTTTCTAGACTGGTCAGTCATTATCATTCACCTAGATAAGTTTAAATGTCTCCTTGTGAAACGTTGTGGCTTACTCAGCCACAGCTTCTTCCGAAACAATTTGTCTAACAACATTCAATTGGCCTAGGAGATGGGCAGGTTGCTCAGTGGCTGCGTTCTAAGACGAGGGACTTTAGAATTTTGAATTGAGTGGTTGTTGATTTTCCTTTTTGGAACTGCAAGCCGTACAAAGGCAGAACATCATTGTGAGACGCATAGCCAAGGCACGTTGAGCATGTTGAGACATCCATCGCTTGCTTTCAGTCGTATCGCAGGGAAGAGCTGGCAGAGCGGCCAAAATTGGCTGTCGCGGCCTCAGCCAGAGACTAGTTGTCGGTAGCCCCCCGTTTTGTCCAGTGGCATCCGCTACCCCGTTTTGGAATCGTCTTGGGATCTGCGCAAAGCGATGGAAGACTGCGCAAAACGACCGTTTTGACCTGCGTCCAGTTTGACCAAGTTGCGAGTCAGAGCTTGGGCCATGTGACTAGAGCATTGCATGCTGCGATTCCCAATGTAAAAGCAACGGGTTGCCTATGACATCATGAAAGTTCGCAACTAGGGGAGTCGCTTGTGTGTTTGACAGTACTTTAAGTACATTGACGGGGTTGTTTAAAAGGTCCAATCGTGAACCTTGCTCATTACGCTGTGCATGTGTGATAATCTGGTGCCATAGCAGCAGCTGCAGCCGTACAGGGCTTTGCTTGGTTTGGGCGATAAGGCTCCCTGTACCCACTCCTTCGGACCCCGCCCTCCTTCCGAAACCATCGTTTCAGTAGTGGATTGGCCACTCCAACCTTGCTTGGATGCCGAGCTTGCCCAGGCGCAGCTGGAAGCTTCCCGTGAGCAAGCCAAGGAGGTCGAGTCGTTGAGGCACGAAGCGTATGTTTGTCGATGTTCGTTTTCGCACCGTGGGTGCTTCAGGATTCTTCAGGCCTTACAGGAGGGTTCTTCAGGATTCATCGGGCCTTGCAGGACAGTTGGAGATGATGAGCACTTCCGTTGTTGATCTTGACTTTCCATGTCACTTGGGTCAAGTGCCAAGCGAGCCACTTGCACCTTGCAACGCATGGATGCCGTTGTGAGTAGCAGCTTGCTTGGGTCCATGCTGCAGTCTACAACTTCCATAAGTGATGGTCGCTTCCTGCAGCTGGCAGTTGATAAGGTTGTCATTTGAGTCATTTGTGAGCTGGTTGGTCCCAGGGCGGAGTTGAAAGAGCTGCGGCACAAGTCGGCAGCTGCGGCCTGAGCTCAAAAGACGGGGGAGAAGCAAGGAAAGCGGAGCTTGTGTGTCTGCGCTTCAACTCAGACTTGCTGGATATTGCTGTTTCCAAGTCTGCATGTTTCAGATGGGTTGTGGTGCTCATCACGGTTTGCAGAGCCACTCCAACCTTGCTTGGACTGCTTGGATGCTGAAGTTGCTTAGACCCAACTCAAAGCTGCCAAGGAGCAAGTCAAAGAGGTCGAGTCATCTCCCTTTCCTTCCCTTGGCATTTCCTTACCTCACTTCGCTCGGGAAATGCAAGTAATCAAGATCAACAACGGAAGCCCTTATCATCTCCAACTGTTCTGCAATGGCCTGACGAATCCTGAAGAACCCATGGTACGAAAGCAAACATCGACCAACATACGCTTCGTGCCTCAACGACATCTATTTCCCTTCACCCTGCATTTGAGAGGTAACATAGGATGGTTAATGAATGAGAGGAAATAGATGGTGTCCTTCCCTCACCCACTTTCACTCCTTTCCGTTGTGAGTGGTAGACCATGTCACTTGGGTCAAGTGCCAAGCGAGCTACTTGCACCTTGCAACGCATGGTGTGAGAAGCAGCTCGCTTGGGTCCATGCTGCAGTCGAGCCGCGGTGTACAACCCCCCATACTGCGCTGACGCCGAGGGAGTTGACAGAGCGCCGGAAGTCAGCCGGGGGCTCAGCCAGCGCCTGCAAGTAGGATTTTTTGCCTCGGTGATTCTTTTCAACCATGATATTTTTCCGAAACCGCCCATTTCCCTTGGGTTTGACACTTGCGCCTGACCTGTTGTCCAGCACGTTCCATGTTTCTGAGTATCCCGGTAACGCCGGATTTGCTTGGCCAGCGGGCCACTGAGACCCCGTCAAATGTTTGTTTTTTCCTGGTCCTGGATAGGCATTGTGGCGTTTCTCATTTCCTCTCATGTGTTGATTCGCCTGAGTCCTTTGTGCAAGCAACCCCGTTCTCTTTGATCAGAGCCACCATCGCTGGTCCATGGCTCTGAGTCATCGATCACAGGAGAATCTGCGCTTGATGTTCTTGCAACTTGAATAACGAGCATTGGGTCGTCAATCCGAACCAACTCCTGAAGCATCTTGTACGTGTTTCTGGGAAGGCAGCAGCAACTTTTGACGGGGAAATCCAGTGACCCTGTGCTTAAGGTAATTAGCGGGGTTGATTCCTTTTCCCAGTTGTAGCAGGTTCCGTTTTGGTCCCTTTCGGCCATGATTTCGCAATGTACAGCGAAGGAGCAAGGGAGTGTAGAACAATCCACTCCGTGCCTCCGTGCGTGAAGACACCGGTTCCAAGGCCTGGAAAGCCAAAGGACCCAAGGACCAACGGACCAAACGACCAAGGGACTACAAGGCCCGGACTAAGAGAAGTCTAGAGGGATGCTGGAAAGCTGACAGTTTTCCTATTTTGCCTTGATGCCGCAAAACCTTGCTGTTTGCTAACAAAGTGCTTTATGATGGTCATCCCATTAGAATGGGCTCCTTTTTTTTTCACCCTCCGAACTTGTTTTGTTTAACCCTTCCCTTTTTTTCAACCCTCAAACCCTGCTCGGGAACCGTCGGCGGGAACCTTGTTTCTCCAACCCTGAGAAATCCTTTCTTTTCAACCCCTCACCTTGTTTTTTTCACCCTTTGCCTTGTTTTTTCACCCTCCGCCTTGTTTTTTTCCACCCGCGAGCTTGCTTGTTTCACCCCGCAACCTTGTTTTGCTCACCCTAAACCTAAAACAACCTAAGCCTGCCCCGCACCCAACCCAACCCAAACCAACCCTAGGCCCGCCCGAAGCCAAACCTTGCGAACCCTCAGTATCTCTAAGTCCATCTCAAACCAGCCAAACACGCCCAAACCCACCCCAAACCCACCCCAAACCCACCCTACACAACACCCCCTAAACTGCAAGCAAGCCAGAAACGTCTTTTGTCCAACCCTAAACCCACCGCAAGCACCACAGACCTACTCGAAACCACCCTAAAGCACACATAACCCACCCCTAACCAATCCCAAACCGACCCTAAACCAACCCTAAATCAAGAAACTAAACCAACCCTAAACCAACAAGCCAGTCCTGCACCCACCCTAAACCCACCCTACACGAACTCTAAACCCACCCGAACCTTGATCCAACCAGAATCCCACCCCACACCTTAAGCTTAGCCTAAGCCAACAACACACCCACCCTAAACCCGCCTAAACCCCAATCCCACCCTAATCTAGCCTTAATGCAACCCTAAGCCCAACCTAAACCAACCCTGAACAGACCCACCGACCCAAAACCAACCCTCAACCCGAAAACGACCCTAAGCCAATCCTAACCCAATCCTAAACCCACTCTAAACCAGCTTTAACCAATCACGAACCACCCCGAAACCAACCTTAAACTCAAGCCCAGCGAAAACCAACCCTAAACCAACCTTGCACCCACCCTAAACTCACCCAAAAACAACCCTAAATCCCCACCCTAACAACGCTAAACCCACACTAAACTCAAAACCAACCTAGCCCAACACCAACCCTAACCAACCCTGAGCCACTCCAAAGCAACCTTAAACCAACCATAAGCCCACCCTGTACCAACCATGAACCTACCCTGATCCAACTCTAAGCGCACCCTGAGACTCTAAGCTAAGCTTGGCCCAACCCTAAATCCAGTGAAGCCAACCCTAGGCCAGCCGCAAAACCAATCCACATCCAAGCCTAAACCAACCCCAAACCCCGCCCTAAACCATCCCAGACCAGACAAGCCGTAAACCCGCCCTGAACCAACCCTACACCAACCCTAAGCCAACCCTACAGCCACCACAGACCTACTCCAGACCACCTAAACCAAACATCTAAATCTACCTAATCCAACTCTACACCCGAAGCTGACCCCAAACCCACCTCAAACAGATTCTAAGCCAACGCTAAATCCACCCTAAATCCACCCTGAAGCCTTTCGACACACGCCCTAATCCCACCCTAAACTAACACCATGTAAATCCAACATTAATCCCAAGCCTGACCTCACCCTAAACCCATTTTAACCGTTTTGAACCAACCCTAAATCCATCCTAAACCCGCTGTAGACCAATTCTCCAAGCCCAAAACCACCCTCATCCAACTTTAAACCCACCATATACCCAGCACAGACCTGCTCGAAACCAACCTTAAACTTAAACCGACCACAAACTTGCTCAACAAACCCTACCCCGCCTCTCAACCCCTAAATCCACCCTTCCCATCCGAAACCAACCCTAAACCCACCTACCCCCCCCGCCCGAACCCACCCTAAACAATCCCTAAATCCAAAGCCGCCCCTAAACCAACCCAACCCTGGACAGTTGCTTAGTGCAGTTGCCGTAAACTTCGGCCACAGGGTTGGCAAAAAAGAAATGCAGGGTTAAAAGGAAGAAGTGGAGGGTCAGAAAGAAAGGGGGGAAGGTTAAAAAAGAAGGGGGGAGGGTTAAAAAAACGGGGGGGAGGGTTAAATAGAAAGGATGAAGGGTTGAAAAAACAGGGAAGGGTTGAAAAAAAAAGGTTTGGAGGGTGAGAAAAAAGGGTTCCCCCATTAGAATTGGGGGCTAGGGGCCAACGGGAAGATGTCAGTAGTGCCGCTGGTATTGCTTCCGGAAAAGGATTGAACATGGGCGGACTGTGACTTGAGCGTGCGCCCCAATGCAGGCCGGCGTCATTTTTAGTACCCCTTGAAAGCAACCCTGAAACCCTGAAAGGGCAGCTCTTTCTTACAATCAAACAACATGGATTCCGACTTTTCAAAGTGACACCGGTGCCTTAAACAGACCATAGCTGTGGTTCACTGGAATCACCCGCCTCGTGCAGCCAATCGAGCAGCTCGGACCGGCTCATGGACCGTGAGTTGGTCTCATGGACCCTTGGTCCTTTGGTCCGCCGGTCCTTTGGTCTTGTTGGTGTTTCGTCTTATAATTTCAGTTATTTGTCCGTTGGTTGTGCAGCATGCATTCATTCATTCACTCAGTCATTCGTTCGTTCGTTCGTTCATGCGTTCGTTCGCTCGTTCGTTCATTCGTTTGTTCGTTCATTCATTCATGCATTCGTTTGTTCGTTCGCTCGTTCGTTCATTTGTTCAATCATTCGTTCATTCATATTCATTCATTCATTCATTCATTCATTCATTCATTCATTCATTCATTCATTCATTCATTCATTCATTCATTCATTCATTCATTCATTCATGCATGCATTCATTCATTCATTTCATTCATTCATTCATTCATTCATTCATTCATTCATTCATTCCTTCCTGCATTCATTCATCATTCATTCATTCATGCATTCATTCAATCCATTCATTCATCATTCATTCATTCATTCATTCATTCATGCATTCATTCAAGCATTCATTCATTCATTCAATCAATTCATGCATTCATTCATTCATTCATTCATTCATTCATTCATTCATTCGTTCATTCATTCATTCATACATTCATTGATTCATTCATCCATTCATTCATTCATTCATTCCTTCGTTCGTTCGTTCGTTCGTTCTTTCGTTCGTTCATTCATTCATTCATTCATTCATTCATTCATTCATTCATTCATTCATTCATTCATTCATTCCTGCATTCATGCATTCATTCATTCGTTTCTTCGTTCATTCTTTCATTCATTCATTCATTCATTCATTTATTCATTCATTCACTCATTCATTCATTCATTCATTCATTCATTCATTCATTCAATCCATTCATTCATGCATTGATGCATTCATTCAATCCATTCAATCCATTCATGCATTCAATTGTTCATTCATTCATTCATTGATTCATTCATTCATGCATTCATTCAATCCATTCAATCATTCATTCATTCATTCATTCATTCATTCATTCATTCATTCATTCATTCATTCATTCATTCATGCATTTCTTCCTTCCTTCCTTCCTTCATTCATTCATTCATTCATTCATTCATTCATTCATTCATTCAATCACTTCATTCATTCATGCATTCATTCATTCATTCATTCATTCATTCATTCATTCATGCATTCATTCATTCATTCATTCATTCATTCATTCATTCATTCATTCATTCATTCAACCCATTCATTCATGGATTCATGCATTCATTGATTCATTCATTCGTTCGTTCATTCATTCATTCATTCATTCATTCATTCATTCATTCCTTCATTCCTGCATTCATGCTTCATGCATTCAAGTATTCATTCATTCATTCATTCATTCATTCATTCATTCATTCATTCATTCATTCATTCATTCATTCATGCATTCATTCATTCATTCATTCATTCATTCATTCATTCATTCATTCATTCATTCATTCATTCATTCATTCATTCAATCACTTCATTCATTCATGCATTCATTCATTCATTCATTCATTCATTCATTCATTCTTTCATTCATTCATTCATTCATTCATTCACGCATTCTTTGATTCTCTCATACTTTCTCCATCGGTGTCTTTGTTGTGTCTAGTGGCCCCGCTTCCTGATAAGGCCTTGTCTCGGCTTTGTGAGCTTTCTTTGTAATCGTGCACTTTCTTCATTAGTGTTTTCTAATTCTGGACAGCTGCCACCCCCCCCCCCAGCCCCCCGCTTCTTTATGGGACCGTTGTTCAGCTTTGTCATCCTTGTCTGTAATATCGCACTTTCTCCATTGATTTCATTATGTGTTGGTGTAATTCTTCATGTGTATCTCCAACTCGATACCTACCCAAACCAATCCTAAACTTCCACCCACTCTAAGGTGCTGGTATTCCTGTCCTCTCTGGCCCTTGCAAGACACCCTGTTCACCTGGCCCCTGTGTGAAGAATGTGTTTTTGACTGTAAGAACTTGTTTTGTGATACCCTACCCATTATGTAGCCTCTGTTGCCGGGTTTGCGCCACCCTCCGCCCGTTCCACGCTCGTTTCAGGCGCCAAAGAAGCAGGGGCCGCGATCGAGGCGCAGACGGCAAGCGCATGAGCAACCAATTCTCCTTGCACGAAACAAGCCTCCTGTTTGTTTAACAGTTCACTGCGCTGGCCAACGAATTCAGCAGATGGTAGCAAACAACTGTTCAAATACAATTTCAACGAACAAATTCGCTTTGAATAAGTCTTTGCTGCCGCAGCTTAGAAGGTCAACATCAATCAGTAAAGGTTCAAATCTAGGTTGTGACAACATCCTGTTCAGTGGGGGTGTGTTTTAACAATTGTGCAAGCATGCGTGCAGCGGTCGTGGCTACACGTGGGCGTGTGTATTGCCGCTTGTGCAACTTAGCCTCATGTGTGAAGACTCCGACCACCCAACAAGTGTCAAAAAAGATGAGCAATGCACGAAACCACCAGGTTTCGGACGGGCGGTACCTGCAACAAACAACGACAGCAAGATTGTAGGGCAAGATGGGGACCCAGAATATGTGTGGCTTGCGTGCAATTTTTAAGTGCCACCCTATCAACCTACCAACCCACCAACCTACCACCCTACCAACCAAGCTATTCCCTCCTAACCCAAACCAAAACAGTCCATTTCAACCCGGAACCAACCCGTTCTTTTCAATTGGCGCCAGGCCACCAAAGCGTGTGGCTTCTCAAGCTCGCCCGTGAGCAGCTTGCCTGCTAGCCCGTTCGAAACCCAATCCCCGACGATCAGCGGACGCATTGCGCAGTTTACGGCTTAGATGATGCGGCCTGTGGATTGCAGATGGGTGAGTTTCCATGCTCCAACATACGGTATTCACGTGTTTTGACCCAAAGTGCGCAATGCAGATCACGGCTTAAGAAGATTACCGAAAGCAAGGATTATAGGCGGATTACGGATTGCGATCAGGCATCCCCGGATTTCGAACAGGCTGTACATAGAGGATGGCGAGCTCGGCATATCAGCTGAGCCAGCCAGCCATGCGAAATGCCGATAAAATGACGCCGAGTTTTCTGCGGCACATTTTTGTGCACATCTGCCATGACTAGGTTCGGTCGGAGCATCTCTTCTTTGCCCTGGACTGTGTCACAACTCCCCTCATGATTGCCTGCTGTTACCAGGGCTTGATGGCCTGAACTCCTGCAGTGTTGGTACCATGACATCCAAATCCCAAATACAAAAGTCATCAAAAACACATCGTTGCGTCCCAACGTTTTTTGCAATGAGATCTCAAAAGCATCACCCGACTCTAACACCAACGTGCTTGTCCGGGCGCAAGCAGTTTACGCATCGCAGCATCGCAAGTGCCTGACATGGCATCCGCCCTATGTACAAAAAGTCGTCATAGCATCCCACCGGCATCTCTACAGGACCGCTAGAGAAGGCCTGTGTAGCTTCAAGTCCCTCGGGTGGGTATTTAAGGTGCCTGAGGTTTTCCTGAGGGTACACCGGAAATAGCTAACCCAAGGTGTGTGAGCTCCGGTCAAAATGACTGGTTTCCCCAAATACATTTGAAACTTAGTCCCCTAGTTAAAAACGGACAAGGGGTCGGCGGACGTAAATTCACGTTGCTCATTTTGGGTTCAAGGGACCCGCGCGGTAATAGACGTTCGTATGGGCTTTCGTGTACCATATTTTCTGGGCCGTTCTCTAGTCGGCTACACCTTTTTGAAGTTACGCTATATCATGTCATGTTTTTTGTATGAGAAACGTATCCTGTGCTATGATATGGCTGGTTAGGTTATGCATGTTGCCCACCCCAACCCGAGATGATGCCGTTGTAGCTGTTCCCGTGCAAAGGGAGTGTTGTTGTGAGGTTGACTTTGATTTGCTAGAAGAGGGGAGAACAGAAGAGACAGATTCATGCCCTGAGCACGCGATTCGAGGGGATTGACCCGAGGATTCCCCGTTGCTCCGCGTACGCGTGCGCAGGGCTGGAAACCGTCTCTGATGTTCTCCTCTGTTCTGGCAGGGGGGTGGGTTGATGGGGGGCGATGATGATATTGGTGCGTTGGCGATGTAGTTGGTTTTTACATAGCCCCCCGGGTGGCTACAACTCCCGACCCCCCGGGGATAATGCTAGTAAAGTGAATTGTCGTAGCCAATGTTTTGCGCTTTTTTGTTTTGAGGGTTCCCGGAGGTGTTTTTGTCGACCCCGAACGATGCTCCCGTCCGCAAAGTCGGAGGTGTTGGTTCGCGGTGAGCGTGTTGGGCGCGAAGAGTTGCGGGGCGGAGACCGTTCCCGAGCCTGTCGCATTGCCGCAGACCACGCTGCCCGTCGACACTCCGCCGCTCGTGGCCGTGAAGGTGCAGTCCAGGCTCTTGCAGTCCACCCCGGTGATCGTCAGCGTGGAGCGCGTGAGTGCCCCGCTGGCTGCAAAGCTTGCCGCTCGCTGCGCCGGATCCCGAGCTCAGCAGGCCCACGCTGGCCGCCCCCGTGATGCTCAGCGAGCTGCCCGAGATGGTGCTGGTGGGGCTCCCCCCGTCCAGTTCACGTCGTTGCGCAGCAGCTGGTCGCAGCCCACGTTGCCCTGCGCAGTGAGCAGCTCGTCCAGCGTGGCTGAGCCCATGAGGGGCTAGCGAGTCGGCCAGCAGGTCCGTTACGGAGACCGACTCTCCCTCGAAGGCAGTGGCCCTGATCTGCAGGCTGTACAGGAGCGTGCCCGCCGACTGCTGCGCAGCCCGGGGGATCGACAGCACCGGCGTCAGAATTTAGATATTCCAAACAGCAGGGCCGAGGCCGTCGTGTCCGCCTTGACCTTGACGGAGTTGCCGGCCTAATCTTGGAGTCCAGCTCCGAGGAAGAGGAGACTGCAGGCTGGCGTCCGCCTTGGAGGCCTGCAGGCCCGAGATGGAGGCGTCGGGCACGGCGAAGTACAGGTTGGCCGTGCTCCAGGTGCCTTGGTCCCCCACAAAGCTGCCATAGAGAGGGTCGTAGACATTGTCGGTCTTGGACATGTGAGCCACGAAGTTGGAGGCCGTGCCAGGTTGTAGGTGCGCACGATCTAGGCGGCTCAACTGCGCTTGTGGGCAAGAACCCAACGCGCCGCTGTTGAACCACTGGACCAACAACGGCGGCGAAACACATGGGAAGCCGGGTTCGATAGACTCGAAATTCTTTCGAGACCACCATTGTCCGCAGTCAGTGCTGCTACCCCTCACTGCGGATAATTCCCGCCCCGTTCCGGGGAAGCCCGAATAGGCAGCAAGCCGGCTAAAACCGTCCAACTTTCAACCTTGAGAGTTTTCCGCAGTGTGTCCTCCGACGCCTCACTGGATAACCGCACGTTTTCCGCAGTCGGGGCTGCTACCTCCTGGCCGGCAAGCTCAGCGTCACGGATGCAGCTTCGGCTGCCATCCAAAAAGCAGATTCTGGGTTCACGGACGTCTCCCTGCAAATTGGACGGTTTGTCCCAGCAGCGCGGTCCAGGGGTGACACAGTCCGTGGGTGGCCTTGGATTTGGAGCGTGGCATTGTGTTCGTTTCTGACACATGCGTGGGTACGAATCCAGTTCCAGAAGCTTTGGAAGCCCCGGAAGCGAGGCCGGACCGGCTTTGCTCGGAAGCACCGGCCGCGGACGAGAGGCCCACACATAAGCGCAAGTCAATCCTCCTAGACACGCTCCCGCATTGCAAAAAGGCGCCATCGGCACGCATTTGGAGCCGGCTGGCCCGGCGATGGGTTTTTTGGGCAAAGTCGGAAGCTTGGAGCGAAGTCGGAATTCCGACCTCGGGGGGCGCGGCTCGGCAGGCTGGCGTTGAGGTTCGACACCAGGCCATGAGCAGCAGCAGCGAACTGCAGCGAACTGCAGCGACAGCTGCAGACTGCGCCGCGCGAAAGCGCGAACATAGAACATCGCACTTCGTCCTGCGAAGGATTCGAAATCTAAAACGCTGCGTGCAGGCGTGTGGCTGCAACATAACGACCCTAGATATGCGGTTTGGCAAAATGCCCCGTAACTGCCTTCGTTTCTGCAAGGAGAGCCCCCTTAAACAAAATCGTGTCTGTGTCTGTTTGTCTGTGTCTGTTTGTCTGTGTCTGTTTGTTTGTGTCTGTGTGTCTGTGTGCTTGTGTTTGTGTGTTTGTGTGCTTGTGTTTGTGTGTTTGTGTGTTTGTTTGTCTGTTTGTGTTTTTGTTTGTGTTTTTGTTTGTGTCTGTGTTTGTCTTTGTTTTTTGTTTTTTTGTGTTTGTCTTTGTTTTTGTTTTTGTTTGTGTTTTTGTTTTTCTCTTTTTGTTTTCTTGTTTGGTTGTTTGTTTGTTTATCGGTTTATTTATTTATTTGAAATTGATATTGTATAGGTTAAATTTTATGAATTTATGAATTTAATTGATATTGTATAGGTTAATTATTATGAATTTATAAAATTTAGGACCTATTTTGTTTGTTATTGGATGATTTTGAATAATTTTGTTTGAAATTGGATTGTTTTTGAATTTGAGAAATAATGATAAAGGTTATTGATAGATATTTTTGAATTTTGAATATTTAGTTTTTTTTGATTGATATGGGTTATTATGAATAAATATATTTTTGAAGGAGATATTTATTTTTATTTTGGTTGAAATTAATATGTTATTATATTTTAATGGAAATTAGATTGATTTTGTTTATACCTAGGATATTTTTTGGTAGGTGGTATTTTAAAAAATAATTTTGGAATATTTCGAAAAAATAAATAATTATAATTTTTT